CCCCCTCCATAAGCCACCTTCCTCTCCCGCCTTCTTTGCCCTTTGCCACCACTGCCTAAGGGTGCCCCATCATACCTCCACCCTAATTTCCTAAGAACATATCACACTTCCCTCTAGTAATTTTGCAAAGACAGACTTCCTGGAAAGAAAAAGCACCCTCCGCCATCTTTTGGAAAAGGATACTGGTCACATAGTTGAAAAAGTTTTCATACTGGAAGTTTCCCTGTTGGCAGATTTTGTTGATTGCTTTCAAGAACAAGTTTTCACCTCTTGGCCATTCATGCTGGAGTAAGACAATCACGTGACCCAGTGCCATGTCATCTCGGTGGTCTGTGAAAGCTCTCGGCTGCTGGGAAGGAAAGAAGGAAGGAAGGACACAGGAGGTTCCAAGAAGCCCCGCTTCAGTATTCTACAGGGGGGAGAGGCATTTCTTTAGAAGCCGCCAGGTGATGGCATCCAAGATGGCTCCCCTCCTTGGCTGGCTTCATTAGGAAGAGGAAATGCCGGCTCCTGAGCAGGGCTCCGTGGCAGCCTGAGAGCCCGGCTCCCGGAGGGAGGGAGGGAAGAGCCAAGACACCACGAGGGACCCCTCCCCTACACGGTCCTCTGGGCCCTGTGGTCTTCCAGACAAGGAGGGGACCCCTTGGCCACTCATTCTCAAGGCTTGCTGAGAGGGGGAAGAAAGGCTCAGGGATCTGTGCAACACCCACTTGAAGGCTCCGGAGCAGGAGTCTTCATCTCCCTCATCCAATAAGGGGAGTCAGTGTTGCGTTGTCAGGGGAAGGGGGGGGAGGGGGCATCTCAGGCTACAGCAGGGCAGACCCTTCCTGGCTCCCCCCAGGCTCTCTCTCGGCCCCGGCGCCTCATTCGTGCACAAATATCCTAGTCCTCAAGGGGGAAAATCCAAAGAGGCCATCTTTATTCAGGGCAAGTGGAATCAGAAAACCCCGACGATCCTTGCGCAGGCATGGCACAAGTGAGCGCCAGCCGCTCTCTGCTCCCGCCCTCCAAAAGGAGAAGGATATGGAGTTCTTGG